AGCTTGTTTCCTTACAGAGCACTTTATAGGCGAACCAGCTTAATCAGCGGCTGATGTCCAATCACCGGCACACAGCTTTGAAACCTCAGCTGAGTTTTAGCTCTCAGTGGTTAAACGCTGGACTTCATTCACTCAGGTTCTGTCTGTCGGGTCACGTTTACTTCGCTGTTTTATTTACAACTGAGCAAATCGGTTTGGCTGAGGTTAAAGTTACGTTTCATAACTGCATAGTTTCACAGACGTTTAATGGTTCACTGGCACATGTGTTAGACTGAACTATCATCTAAATATCATCTGTTTTTTAATAGTTATTCAACTGTATTCTAAGCACCAGCTGTCTGTTAGAATGTGATTTTTTTTCTCTCTCTGTTGGCAGAGGTATAAAAATGCGCAGGAAAATCTGACGTGCATGGCAAACTTCACCGACGATATTTAGGGAGGAATAAACACACATCAAACATAAATGAACCATTTGCCTGTCTCCATAATTGAGAGCATTTTCTCTTCTTATGTCAACACACTCTCTCTCTCTCTCTCTTTTTTTTTTTTTTTTTGGCTTTTTTGGTCATGTTATGTTTACCTGTCAAAGGCTTGTTACAAACTATGAAACACATCGTGCAGACTTCTGGATGTTAGAAGAAAACTAATACTGCTCATGAAGGAGACTAAAGGCAGGAAGGTGTCCTTTAAAACTAAACATGTTAATAGGACCTCCCTATTTATATCATAGTTTATGATATAGCACGTGTATTTCAGTAATAGCCTGCTGATTTCAGTGTAGTGAACAGTCGCACAGCTCACGTAGGCGTTATCTGTGATACTCCTTAACTATAATTTATCCAAGTTAACTTCAGTTGACCATTCAGACAGTTCTTTTGCAATGAAAAACATAAACACCCATGCTGCCGGGAGGTTTCCTCAGTGCCAGCTGTTAACATTATAGCTGCTTATGCAGTAACCATGGTAACCACGGACTCTGAACGCTGGATCGATGGAGGTCAGACAACAATTTTACATGTATGATCTTAAAACAGGACACAGCCACTATACGTGCTGGCCTCATATCAAATGTGAAGGCAGACTGAGTCTATGTTTGACGTTTGTTTATATCTAATCTTCCTCTCAAACATTTAAACAGCAGCGAGTCTGCAGCTGAGGGAATACAAACTCAAATTGTCGGAACAGGTTTGCTCGTTTCTTGGATTCATTTGGTGATTTATTAAATCTATAACTGTTATTCTAATCTGCTGCTGAGTCTCTTACACTTTTCTTTATGCTGTATATTTTCATGTCTCTGGAATAGTTGGCAGTTAGATAGTCAGCTGGGAAACTTTGTGTTAACTCATGGAGCTGAGGATATCGTGGATATGCTGACCTCGCTCCGTGGTGTACAGGGCCGTTTACCCTCATGATTAATATTCACTATAAAAATATTAGCCGAACATCATGAAGTCTGTATGTGTTTCATAGTGTCGAACAACCTTTGTACAGTTAAAGCCAGCTGTACTGTCTTTCCCTCTTCACACTGCACAGAAGAGGAACCGGCAGCAAGGTTCAACACTTTTCTTCCATCAAGACTCTGAAGACCATTACTCTTTGTCCACAGGTTTAATGATGTAGAAAGTGTGAAACTGAAACAAACATAACACAATTACAATTACAGTATATTCTTTAAATCTTACATATACACTGTACAAGTCTACAATAATCTAAATCAACGTAGCGTAGCACTTTAGCTGCAAGAATAAGCATTAGCCGTGCTCTAAACATGTGGTTTCAACAACGTATCAAAGTTACACATTAAACTTCCCTCATGTCACAAAATACAACCACAGAACTACAGATAAGCATCAAATAAACAATATACATACAGACGATGCTCCAAAAGACGAAGGATTGAAGGCAGATGCATGTGGATTCATGGCAGTCTCCTTGGCCATGTGCAAACTTCACTAAACCTTACTACTTACTACTAAGGGGCAGGGATAGCTCAGTAGGTAAAGTGGTCGCCCCATGATCGGAAGGTCGGCGGTTCGAATCCACTTAACGGCTACCCTGAGGTACCCCTGAGCAAGGTACCGTCCCTACACACTGCTCCCCGGGCGCCTGCTTAGTGGGCTGCCCACTGCTTCACTGAGTGAATGGGTCAAATGCAGAGAAAAACAAGTAATTTCCCCATGGGGATCAATAAAGTATCCATTATTATTATTATTATTACTTCCTGCTTCCTGTGATGTCACCAGGTATCAGAACTCTTAAAGGGACAGCTGCCCTAACACTATCGGCACACCAGCAGTTACTACATGACAGAAACACCAACGTTATCTCTTTTATGCGTTTATACACAGGTCACGCTGATTACTGAACAAAAACCCAAAGATCAGATGTTAAACAGATTTATTTGCTCTCTCTCCTCCTTAAACATTTTTTAATGTTAGTTATAATTCAGAATTGGCGACTGAAACACGTAGGACACATAAGAACATCAGGAAATAAAACACCAATAAATATAACCTCAGTAAAAGAAGTCAGTGGGGGTTACTACAGCTGTGTACCGGGGCCTGCGCTTTGTCGGTGGGATTGCTTGCGAGGCGAGCGGGTCTATCCCACGCTTTGCCGTGAGACTGGGCAGACATCTCCGAAATCATCGAAGCACTTTTGCAAAGAGGCTGTATCTTGACAAACCGACCAGACACATGAAGATTAAACCACTACATTCTCGGCTAAAAAAATATTAAAACGGTATTTGGTGACACACAAACAGGGTTTTTCAAAGCTCAGTTCTGTTAGCTTCCACGTGCCGGTTGTTGTGTGCTAGAAACAATGGCTACCAGGCCAAAGCAATGGTTTTGACTCGATCAGCGTTAACCCCGCCCCCTGAGTTTGATGGGTGAGGCTGACAGATAAAATTATTTCATGATGAGAGCCAGGCGCCAGGACTGCCAAAATGAAATAAATAAATATATCATTAAATAATTAATTAAATGTGTCAATAATTAAAATGTGAAATACATAAATAATTAATTAAATGTGTCAATAATTAATTAATTAAATGTGTCAATAATTAATTAAAATGTGAAATACATAAATAATTAATTAAATGTGTCAATAATTAATTAATTACATGTGTCATAACTATTTATTTAATTAATTAATTACATGTGTCATAACTATTTATTTAATTAATTAATTCCAATTTTAATTAATTATTGACACATTTAATTAATTATTTAATGGTGTATTTAATTAATTCATTATGGCAGTCCTGGCGTTCCATAGTTAAAGTGTTCTGACGCAGTATTGTAAAAACCAAGCTGGTTTCATAAAGCTAGAATTTACTCCAAAAAATAAAAAAAATAATAGCGCTGCCGTATTGCATCACACTCAGTGCATTTCAATCATTTCTTCAGCGAGTTTGATAGCTAGCAAAGTAATAATCATAATTTTTTTTTTTTTTAAATAGCATGTGTAACGTACACGTGCTGGAAAATTATTTACCTGGGCCCTGCTATCATGCGACTGGAGACCGCAAACTCCGCCATTGTCGTTTTCCATCAAACACTCATTAAAACAGCAACTGCAGGTATGTTAGCGCACTCATCCCCGTCTGTTAGAGGGAGGGGTGGGGTAAGATATTGAAACAGACATAGGTGCGAGGCGGAGAAATTTTGAGATTTTGTCCCAGGCACCTCAACCCCATGTACATCTTGTCTCAGGTGTCCTCAATAAATCACATTATGGGGTGGGTTTCACCCTTAAGCCTGGCTATGGTCATGCAGCAAACATTTATTCACAGCTGGGCTCAGGTGATGACTCATATAATTAATAGTTTGTCAACAACCCTGAGGTTCACATCCAAATGAGACAAGCCCCAGAGGGGGGACTCTCCACCATTTGTCATTAGAACAAAGTCTCTTGGATAAGATGTAAAACATTTTCTCAAACCTGGAGAAGTCTAACTGCCGTCTTTCAAGCTCTCAATACTACCATGACCTGGATGACTGAGAAAATAGACAGATATAATGTGAAAGTAATGTAACAAATACTCTAATCTATTACTTAACCCGGAAAGTCACGTTCTGCATTAATTTTAAGAAAAATAACAGTAATGTTATTTCTGAGCGAAACTGAGCTCTGATTAAGACAGGATATCAACCAAAATTCCAGAAAAAACACATCACGTAAAAGTTATAAATTGATTTGCATGTCACTGAGTGAAAGGAGTATTGAATCCACTACAACCCAGCCAGAATTTTGGCCCCCATTGATGGGCTGTGTACCCGTGTGGCCTATAGATGGAAAAAAAAAATCAATTAATTACAGATATGCCACACCTTGTCCATTAAACATATTTTTTAGACTCACGTATTCTTAATGCAGCCATTCACACCCATCGAATAATTTGACTGTACTAACATGCGGCATTTATTTTATTTTTGCTTTGAACCAAGATCGATTTTTCAAATTTTTTGGAAATTAGACAAATCTGAAATCCAAACAAACAAATCTGATCAATCAGATCACTGCATTTGCGAACATGTGCACTCTTAACTCAAACACTGAATCCACAATGAAATTGAAATAGTAAAATAATACTATTTTGTTTTTTTTGCAGTGACCCACCATGGCAACAACCTGTTGCCATTGCCTTTGTGGTCAATACCTAGATACTAAGAGGAAGAATCTATTTGTGTCTACACATTAGGACACCGATTTGCGTTGGTATAGGTTTATATTAACAACACCTATAGCTTTATATTGTTAAATAGTAATTATAAGAGACTGGCGAAATGCTAATGTAATGTACTGCATTACTTTAAAGAAAGGTTTTCTGTGTAATAAAATACTTGAGTAACAACCGCAACACTGATCACAAAAAAGAGAGGAAATACCTCTAACCAAATGAAAATCAGTGGAAGCATCAATAAGAGAATCGATAAGAAATGAAATCAATAAGTAAATTAAGTAAGTAAGTAAGTTTGGTGAAGATGAGCTGTTACCTGCAGCTCAGTATTGAGTCTAGGCATCGAAGCAGCTCGGCCCTGGTTTTCCAGACCGGAGCCAGTGAATGGAATTCTACTGCTCACACTGGTCTCCATCTTCTTCATCTCTACCGACTCCTGAGCATACAAATACAAACAAAACCCTGCCTCATCAGCATGCAATGATGACATTTGGAGGTGCATTAAGCAATTTGGACTCAATTTGAGAAGACTACTGGAACTCTCTGGACCCGCTGTGTCTCTATAACACCACAATTAGCTAATGGTCTCTTAGCAACAGAGTCCACTAATCACTGACATCAACAATTGATGTTACTAGCAGAACACAGACTCTACCCGCTACTACTCTGTAGCTTAATTATACCCACTGTGTCATTAACAACAATCAACAACAAACAACGATTGTTGTCTGAGGTTGCACACTGCTCCTTTAATTCAGTATTGAGATAACAGACACCATGACTCAATGGTTTAAAGATAGGCTAGACTTGTACTATTTGTAATATAATTCTAACCACTATGCTGTTCTCACTGAGAGTAAAGCAAAAGTGAATTATTTGTGAATGAAAACAATCATCTATACACGGATTACAAGATTATAAGTTAAAGTAAGAAGAGCAGAACCTAGTGAATAGGACATGAGCACATCTGTAGTATTAATAAAAATAGTCAAATAGTAAGGATACTATGTGAAGTCTTGCTTTGACATGAATTACCATATTTAATCAAATTGATGTAATCATTTTATAGCAAACATTATTCTATATGGCCATGCTTTTTCTACTGTTTATCTGGGTTTGGGTCTGAGCAGAGAAGCCCAGACTTCCCTTACCACGGCCACCTCATCTTGGGGGGATACTGAGTTGTGCCCAAGCTAGCTGAGAGACATAACTCGAGCAAGTCCTGTCCAGGAGACTGCCTAGGGCTTTCCTAAAATTACTCAACTAGTCAGTTGAGTTCCAGTCAGATGTCTGAACCACGTCAAATTGGTTCCTTTCAATGTGGAGAAAAAGTGGCTCTACTCCTGATCAAGCTCCTCAGCCTGTCTTTAAGAGGACAGCCAGCATCCAAAAGAAGCTTATTTCTGCCACTTGTGCCACAATGTTTGGAATATATTGTAAACACTGAAATATTTTCACAGCTCATGTTGAACATGCATCCGTATGTTTTACCTGATTGATGGCAGTGTCTGAAGTGTCCTCAGATGGGCCCCGGGACATCGTTCTCTTATTCTTAGCCCATGGCACTTCTTTGGGTTTATCAATCACCCAGGAAGATGATGGCTTGATGGTGTGATCTTGACTTGGCCTGTGTGTAATAATCACAGTTCAGTTTAACTTTTACAAGGTCAGCAGTTCCTGTTGTCATTGAAGTCTCAAGTATTCAAAACTAGCTGTAAAACTATTGTAGGATATCTGACACATTGATCAATTAGCATTATTTCTTGGTAATTAAACAGCTATATTATACAACAGCTATAACTCCACTATAATTTCCCATTGTCTTTCAGGCCTTTTAGTCAACTGGGTCATTTTATATTCTTTAAGTGGTAAAAGCAATCAGATTTTTAGAAGATTTTCCGAAGATGAGATCACAGATCTCACATCCAAAAACTTCCTTTACATCTAACTTTAAGATTTAATTTTTTTGCAAGAACCAGGTCTCAAATAAGAAAGTTGGTCTGCAATGCACCATTTGTACTTTGAAGAACTGACACACACTCACAGGTAAACCGGATTTACTTACTTCTAATAATATATCAATGTGATTTTGGTGATCTGAAAACCTATAATGCTTTTTCTTATTACACTAGGGGATGCTCATAACAAACGTGGCAGAAGTTTAAAAAGCTGAGGAATACACATAAGGTTACATCAAAATTTGTATGGTGGGTTAACAGCTCCGGCTTCACAATGGGTTACAGAGCTGAGTATGATGCTGTAGTATGATGCTAAACGAATGCTAAAACACAACAAACAGCCCTTTGCTCATCAGTAAAATGTCTTCTTGCATTTGTCAGTAGACTAAGACAGTACATTAGTTTATTTAGATAAGTAGCTATAGCTATTAGACAATAGCTACTTAAAATAAGTAGCTATTGTCAATGCAGCCATTAATTTTACTGGCAAATACCTCCTAGAGGCAAAGAAGGTACTGGAGTAAAAAGAATGTGCATATAAAAGTATTACATTTATTTCAGTTTTGATTTTCTCTCCACTATGACCTTTACACAATTTTATAGAAGACTGGCATAGCAGAATAAACTCTGCAGGGCCACTGCAACATAAATGCATGCAGTTATGAAAGAAGTAATCAGATCTTTTATCTAAATTTAAGACCCAACCCATCAAAAATAGCCAGAAAATTCAAATTTTTTGGAACTGAGATGTTTAATAACCTTTATAACAAAACCTACATTTTTTGCTATATCTTGTTGTTTACTATATAATTTGATGATATAGTTATGATATATTTTTGTATCGCATTTGTGACACTGGGCATTTTTGGCAATGTTATGTTAACACAAATTTTTTTTTTTTTCCATTACATTATAGCATTGAAATTATGGCAAGTATTGATCATGTTGATTAGATAGAAGTCTCAGAAACTCATGTATCAAATATGAAACAAAGGGCATTATAGGGTTAAGCAGCACAACTCCATCTATCATTCATCCATCTATCTGTTTATTCAATACAGGATCACAACACACCACAAGCAGAATATAAAAAAGAATCTGTTATGCGTTTTTCCTGAAGTATTGAACTTACAGAGTGCCTCCATTGTTGAGGGAGTTGGAGCTAGGTCTGGTCTGTGGCTGAGACTTGGCATGGGATTTAGACTGGTACCTAAGCATGCTGGGAGGCTCCACACTGTTTAACATCTTAGGGAGGTCTTTCTCCTGTATGTGAGTCAGAGGCAGCAATGGCTTAAATAGAGCCCCGACCTTGCACTGTGGAGGAGAGATGGATGGCAACATGCTGAAGAAATCCAGAGGCAGCAGGCAGAATATTGCTGGACCCAGGTCTGACAACAGGCGCTCAGGGCTAGTTGGATGTGGAGACTTAGGCCAGAATATTCTTTGCTTGTAGTCATGCTTGTTTGCAATATATCTATGTGCATGTGGGAGTGTGGAAACATGCACGAGTAGAGTAGGCGTGCAAAGTTGCTGATAAACATCTGTCAGCAGCCAAATTCCACCAATTCATGTCTGACTGAAACTGACAAGAGTGTCATTAAGTATTTAACATCCACTAGGTTACTGGTGACCCCTCAAAAGTTAGGGTTAAGGTTACCATTTCCCCTACTTAGAACATGTCTGTCCCTTTTCTATAGAATTTCTGCCCACTTGGCACACTCAGAAGGTTCAGAAGGTTTTTATGGATAAATTAATGCCAAAATGTATGAGAATTTACTCGACCCTGGCCGCAGATAGGTTGATGTTAGCCTTGTAACTGTTAAAAGATTAATACAACAACAGCAAGTAACAACTCTCCTGGTACTTCTATATAAATTGGGAAAACAGATGATAGCTTTTGCAAATTACCAGTGAATTACTAGTGAACACAAAGTATCTTCTGTGCATGTGTGTTTACATGCAGCATACATTCAAAGTGTGTAAGTTTGCAAGCATGTATGTGCACCCATGCATCTAGATTTGAACTCCATCCATTGTGTGTGTACTTCCTTGCATGTCTGCATATGTAATGAGGGTGTTGTACCTGGGAGCCCAAAGCGCTCTGTTGCTGCTGCAGTCTCCTAGCTCGATTCTGCTTATAGTAGTCAAAGATCATCAAGGCTGCATAAACCTTCCCTACTGTGAGCTCATTGGCTGAGGAGGTGAGAAGAAATTATTTAAGAAATGACAAGACATAAAAAGAAGTAGTAACTGACTCATTTCTTCTTATTTCAATGCATCTCTGTGCACTGCATGTCTCCCTAATGGTTTAAAGAAAAGGGAATTCTTATGGTGAACAAGTTTGTTAATTTATAGTAAGTAACTAAAAAAAAGAAAAGCAGAACAATCACCTCTGAGTCAAAATGCCTTTTTGTAGTTGCAGTATCTGGTGATCACATCTTGGCAAAGGTGGCAACAAAATCAACTGTAAAGTTAAGTCTTGGATGGCCACATGCACACAGTAACTCACACTATAGGGTGGTTTAGGGATACTTTTTGGGTGAAAAAGCTGCTGTGCATCTACTTTTTATGGCAGTATATTTAAGGACCAGCTGTGGACCAGCTGAAGTCTGTCCTCCATCCCTTGGAAAGCCATCCTCTCTTCCCTTGAGGAGTCAGTAGTTCACAGCTGGTTATAAGCCTTTGTCACTCTCATAGCCCACCACTTCCTATGGATTCATTGACTTAACTGCTAATTGCCTACCTGCCCACTCTCCACTGAAAACCTGCCACTCACCACAGATCTCCACCTGCTAATTGGTACCTACTCCTAAGCCTTGTTTGCCCGTTGCCTTTTTTAATTAAACCTATACTTGATTGTAGTCACTGTCTGCACCTTGGGTCAGAAATTTTTAAAGTCATGATGACCAGTGTTGGTCAAATTGCTTGAAAAAAAATTACTAATTACTGATTACTTCACCAACAAATAAATGTTGTTAATTCACTAATTACTTATTTTCAAAAGTAATTAGTTACTTTATTACTTAGTTACTTTTTAAAAACACGACACACAACCTGAATACTTAACAATGTAATAGACCTTTCAGCCCAATTCTATTTTTTCTGCATGATCCATCATATAAAATTGCTAGTCAGAGTATTAATACTATAGTGTACTAAAGAGTATTATGAATATAATATGAATATAGTATTATGAAAGGACACCAGAGTCTGGGAATGGTACTATAATGTTCAATTAAAAGTCAATTAATTATTAATTATTAATTAATTTTCTCTTTAGCATCAACTCTAAGTGCCACAATTTAAAAAAAAGAAAAAGACTACTTTTTTATGTATGTCATCTATAGATGAATAGAAAATTAAAATTCTGATAATTTGCTTACGTTTATGTGGCGTGACCAACAGGTCCATGGTCTTTTGGGAAAGGTTGGGCCACACTGTGGACAATTCCTTTTTTAACTCTGCATCACATAATCGCTGGGCTACCATTCCTACAAGTACAAAATCAAGAGAGATTAAAAGAGACTCAACCTCTTGTCATAATAGTGATAACCTTAACCATAACGTAATAATTCTAACTGACACACATCAAAAACTATTTATTTTTCCCCCCACAACTGTCCTTTTTGCTTTGCTCCAAAGATAAGGTTAGGATTAGGGTTAACATTGAAGATTACTTAGACCATTTTGGGTCTACACAGTGTTATCAGTGTATAATTATGTGCCTCTAACCTGACGCCAACTTGATCTCCAGTGCTGTGCGAATCAGTGCCATCAGAGTGGAGGTAAAGTGAACTGTGTTGTCATCAGCAATAGGCATATTCATTTTGACGAGGCGCTGAGGGTTAGACAAAGAGACATTAGGTCACTGATCATAACAAACTGTTTAATAAAAACATAAATTTCACCCAGAGAAATCAGTCTGTGTGCTGAAGTGATCCTATCCCCTCAAATGATTCATGTTCTTTGCTAAATTTGGTTTATTATGTGGAAGTTTCTCTAGATTGATGAAATGCTCCAGAGATATATTTCAGCACACAAAAAGCCTTCTCTACAAGAATATACAGGAGACAAACTAGACATTGACATACACTGCTACTAGCTACAGTATGCACTATGTTGCAAGTCAAAGGGCACTGGTGCAAGACTGACATTGACCGAAAAAAAGGCGAGAGAAGGCATGTAACACATAACCATGAAGGTGCTTCAACAGTCGCAGGAGCTCGACTCTGTGGTTGCCATCGCAGCAATCATCAGTTTGGAGTTGAGAAGCTGAGTATGCTCTACATGTACAGTGGATACTAGCATCAAAGAGTTAATTCCACCAAGCTTGATCAGACTTAGCAGGAAGACTTGGTTCATACAGCATTAATGGAACCACTATTTGCATAAAGGATGCTATGGGATTGTTGCTGTAAGAGTTGAGCTCCCCTGAACACAAAAAGCATTCACCTACATGTGCTATCAGTGGCAGTGCAGAGAATAAGAAGACCAGAGTCAGAATGAAACGGGGATGGAGAACTGAGGGCCAAACATATACACACACTCAGGCCTTTTTACACATGGCCACACACTCACTTTAGCAAATGTACACACACAATCATAGGCTGCACAATCAGCTGGAAAGAAAAAATCCTTAACTCAAACCACTAACAATAACAGAAGTCATTGACCTATTAAAGATTTACCTGTAGCAACATATGTTTTGTCTTTTATGCAATGAAATAAATATTTTTTGCAGAAAAATAACCATTTGAAAATGGTATTTGTTCAGCAGAGCCGCTCCAATGCTTTTCAGCACATTAGGTCATGTTCAACCCTTCTTGCATTTAGCAGTTAATAGAGCTGTAATTTTTTTATGGCTAATTATAACATGAGGTTTTTTTTACATTTATTTTTAGGCATAACAAACTTTTTGAGGTATAAGTACAATCCAGGGAGTGTTAAAATTGTTTCACTATCTCCGCGTCCCCTTTTTATTGCAGAGCTGTCTCAAAGGCAAAGCTTACAAGCTAAAAAAAAGCATAAACCTAAATCTAAAGGCAGAGCATTTTCAAGTTTTGAAGAATCTTGAAAAAAAAAAGCATTCCAGTGTATCATTAAAGAAACGGTATATTAATGCGCAAAAGGTCCATCCATCCAGAAAAGTGGCAAACAGTTAAAAACTAGAAAAAGTTGCATTTCCTGCGAAAATGCTGTGTGAATGCCTTGTAGTGGAATCTGAAAACAGCAGAATAAGGAGAACTATCTGTTGAAAACTGTGTAGAAGCTGAACTGTTTGCTGAAAACTGGTTTATTTAAAAAGGGTACACTGAACAGTGTCACTAAAGCAGAGTGCATGCAAGCAGAGCAGAAGTGTGCTAACAGCCACAAGTAGGATTCAAACCTGCACCAACAGATCTCACAGCAGCTGTTCATCTCACTGAACCATAGCAGTTCTTGTGTCAACGAGAGATATGATGAGAGAAAAAATGTGCAGGGGGCTGAAGAAGCTGAATTGTTGTGAAAAGAGGTGAAGAAGCAGAACTGTATGCTAGAAAAAGGTGAAAAGGCTGAAATTCTTCTGAAAGAGCAGAAGAGGCTGAAATTTTTTCAGCTACTCATTGAGCCAAACTGGTTCTCACGTAACTAAAAAAGGTGAAAAAGCTGAAAATTCTGACAAAAAAAAAAAAAGCAGAAGAGGCTGAGATTTGTGCTGATAAGAGGTGAAAACGCTGAACCTTCTGCTGAAAAGAGGCAGAACAACCTGGTTCTGCTAAATTTTAGTCCACCAATCAGAGGTACTACTTCTGTCTGCTTCATCAGGCTGTGTACTTGTATGTATTTCTGCCATGGAGCATTAACAAGAATCTGAGGTCCATATTAGAAATGCTGCCAAAATCATAAAACGTAGCAGAATTGTAATAAATTAGCAATATAAATTGCAGGACTGTGATAGTGTATTAATTTGTAGTTAAAAAAAAAAAAACCTGTGGAACAAGGTGGAATTGAACCCAAGACGTTTGGGCTGCAGACCCGTGTCATAACCAATTGTGCCACCTGGAACAGGGGCGGGGGGGCTCAGAAAACAGAGTGATGAGGAGTCAGAATTAGATTGCGGTGAGAGGCGAAAAATGCCGTTTTTTGGTGTTACAAAATGTTGTGCAACTCAAAAAGTCGGTGGGATAGAAGCATAATTTTTGTACTGGGTGAATCAGCAGACTTTGGTGAACTTTCACTGTGACGGAGGTACATAGGTCTTTGTACCTCCATCGCGGAGATATGACCACACGGCTTCATTTCCAGAGTTTGAAAACTGAGAGGACAGATTTCCGCCCCTCAAACAAACGTAATTCATCGCTCAACGATAAGATAATTGTAAAAACTGTTTAGAACACTCAAAGTGTCTGAAGATATATTGGCACAAGCCTCATGTCTTAACTTTGCTTTGTTAAGGAGATATGACGATTCGAAAATGCCTCCAGTTAGAATTTCAGCTCTAAGTTTCACAACCTCCCCATAGACTTTGAATGGGAAGTTTTCAGACCTTGTGTCACTTCGAGGCAAATTGTGAAAAAAACGTAACTCGCACGATAATGATAGTGACACTGTCTTAAAGCCAACAAAAATACCTACGTTTTGATGTATAATTCGTGTGGGTTCAGCAAAAGTTGAGTAAGCAACAGGAGTTTGTTCGTACATGAAGAAGGGTTTCAGAGCTTAGAGTGCACGCACTCTAACTCTCAGTCCATATCAACGATAGCAACCCATGCAAATCCTCATAATTCATACAAAAGTTAAAAATTAATTCAAGGGAAATGGTAGAACTTATGGAAAAGCTGAATTAGACAGCAGTAGCAGAAGAACAGGAGAATGGTTTAAAGGTGGAATGGTGGTTCTAGGTGAAAGTATGTGGAAGTACTTAAGGTTCAAAAACATGCCACTTAGAGCGTTTTATGGGATGTGTGCCATTCACTTCAATGGGAGCTGGAAAGAGCAGAATTGATAGAAACTGTAAAAATTTGAATGGTGATAATGGCATAAAAACTGAGGGACTAGTTAAGCGGCAAAAAATGTACGGAAGCAAATAGAAAAAGAAAAAGGAAGAATAAAGAGAAACAGGATCTCAATAGTGTGAATGCCGGTGAGGCATTCACACAACAAGGTAAGTGGTGAGAGATGTTAATTTCATTTTTTGTTTACATGGTTATGCATTTGCACGCTCTTATAATTGGAGCGAGAAGTAACTAACAAAGCTTCACTGAATTCAACTGTGCTGGCTACCTGACTCAGTATTCTGACAAATACAAACTGTAACCTTTTAGAGTTATTGTAGAGCATAAAAGATTCCAGACTCTTTAAAGTGCCTACAACCTTTGCCTAGTACTGTACAACCATTATGAATGTAATGTAACATTTGTAAATGGCACACTACATTTTGTCCATTTTTGCATATCTACCTGAGGTGAGTTTTAACTGGAATAAAATAGGAAAACAGAAAATAAAAAAAGAAAGTAGTGATTTCTAAATTGACTTTGACTTGTATTTCATTGCAGACAATATGAACACAAAATATTTTATGTTTTGGTTGGTCAGTTTAATTTCATTTGTAAATATACATCCTTACCTGTCACTCAGACCTGCAACACATTCCAAAAAAGGTTGGGACAGGAGCAATTTAGGGCTAGTAATCAGGTAAATTGGCTAAATAATGATGTGATTTGAAACAGGTGATATCAACGGGTGATTGTAATTATGATTTGGTACAAAAGCAGCATCCAAGAAAGGTCCTTTAGGAGTAAAGGTGGGGCGAGGATCGCCAATTTACTAACAAATACAGGAAAAAATTATTGAAATGTGTAAAAAAAAAAAAAATCTCAGAATTTTTTTATGGTCATTTTGCTCCAACATGAGTCCCACTCTGTTATGTGCCTTTTCTGTTATTAGTTTACTCAGACTGTCTTTGGTAATAATTGTGACATTTGTAACCCATATTTGAGTATGGCTTAACTAGAATATACCAGAATAAGAAAAGAATCATTAATCTAAGCAGCACACTTCATTTGTAATGAATAAACCATAGGTGCAGCAGTTAAGGAGTTAACTGTTCTGGTTTAGACACATGTTACTCTAGGCCAATGAGCTGCTGAAACGTGGTACAGGCTCCGCCTGCCGCCCCTGCCTAGGAGGACACAGATTTTTCTCTTCTCTCTCTCGCTCGCGAACCTTCCATGAGCAAGCTAGTGAGGAAACGAGACACGGCGATTTACTGAGACGAGGTGTGAAAAAGAGTAATATAGACGGAGAGCTAGCACTCGCCGTTTATGAAAGATTGTTTTACTGTATGTATATTGCTAAGACGAGTCGTGCGCCATCTCGCGCTGCTCCGTCTTTCTAATTCTGAGATCGGTGAGCAAAGTGTTTTACTTGTTCATTATTTATCTGTGTTTCATGAATGCCTTGCAAGTAAAATGTTCCAGTGTTTAATGATAATTGTTTAGGAATGTTCTGTAGGAAACTTTGTTCAATTTACTGAAACCCAGTAGTTGAAGCGAATGTGTGAATTGTGATTTTATGAGGAACTTAATATGTCCCATGACACTGTCGTTGACAGGTCAGGTTTTTTTTTTTTGTTTCTTTGGTTTGTATCTTCCTGGTGCATTCCAACGGATCCTGAAATTGATGGCGAGCCAACCCCGTTGAAGGACCAAATGACTTTGTTCTGTCCTGCACATCAGAGTGTGGTAGGCCAGATGCAACAAAACAGAAACACACCACGCCATTTTGTACTCGTAGTCCCCCTTCTTCACACACATCCCCCTGGACTCACGGGCGGGTAGTTTTAAGGACTCGTTTTACGGACTCTGTACATTCCATGAATGTGAACAAAAGTGAGTGTGAGCTGTCAGAAATAACCCTCCAGCTGATTAACTGTTGCTATTTGTAAACGAAGTCTGTGAAAATGCAAATAAGTGTTAACATTTACATGCTGATGATTGAAATTGTGGTTCATTGTTGGATGTGAACTGTACTTCTAGAAAGGGTGCACCCAGGTAAGATTTCTTTCCCATCGAGTGATTACTGTGATTTTGCCAAAAGGTATTATTAAGAGAATACTGGTACCGAAAGGGAATAATTTCATTTGTAAATGTTTTGTATGTTTGTCATAATGTCCTGTTGTTTCTAATTGAGAAGAAAAATACAATTCCGGTTATTTTTCAAAACTCGCGGTTGTCTGAGTCTCATTCAGTTCGCCTCTCCTGTACGTAGCCGAACCTACTGGTCCAAATCATTGAGCTCTTTGGTGCCAAATCCTTTTTTGATCTGGGAGTATTCGAAACACGCACATCAGTGTTACACATTGGTGAAGATGAAAATGTTTGAGTAATTGAGTAATCAATACAGAAATCCTGCTGGAAATTCCTGTTCAATGTCTTTAAACCTTATAAACAAGTTGACCACAGTGTAAAGATTTCCTCAAATGTAACTTAGTCACTGTATATGACTACATTGTTTGCATTTGCCCCTGTGTTAACATGCAAATTTCATTATTTAGATTGGCTATCCGGATAAAGATAATGTGATCAGCTAGAAATAGTGTAGAGGTTAAATCAAGGTTTAGCACCTCTAATATTCTAACACAAAAAGAAAGAAAGAAACACACACAGACACATGCACACAACAGATATTTCCACACAGTGAACAGACTGAGATGATATGACAGAAAAATGAGAGAAAAAAAAGTAGTAGCAGTACAGACAGAACCACAGAGTCAAAAGCACATATACAAAACATTTCTTCCACAGAAAAGCAGCAGAAGCTAGACATACCCACACACACACACACACACCTGGACATACATAATTGCACACACATACGCACACGCACGCACGCATGCACGCAAAACTCACTGCTCCACAAAATAAAAACCAAACTAGGGTATACCACTGAAAGGAAATAGTGATGCAACGGAGCAATTTCCCTCCATATACATTATATATCTTAATCAAGCATTCTTTATTAAGGGCTATGTTCTTATAATTAGGGATGGGTATTAACCCAAAGCAGCAGATACTATTAGCAAAACCGTAAGACAGAAAAGATGAGTGACTTACACTCAAAATATCAGAGCACTAGCAAAACAAAGAAATGTGGGAATAGTGCAGAGCAAAGACATTGGCTTGAGTTCACGCCAATGGAAAAAAGATTGTTGAGAAGGGGGAAGAAAGTGGCGGAAGAGGAGGGTCTACCTTGTAGGCGACTCTTGGCGGACATTTCTTTCCCAAACCTAAGGGTGGGGACATGTGGAGCAGCATCTGATACATATCGAGGTACTTGATACGGCCACTTCACAGGGTAGGAAATCAAAACATAAATAGAATGCAAACAGAGATGGATGGGAAGTTAGAGAAGGGGAAAATAAATAAAAAGAAATCAACAAAACAGCAGAATAATGGAAAGGAAAAACAGAAATCTGTTGTTAATAGATTTCCTTGAGTGAGATGGAAGGTATATGCCATCCTCGGCCACTGTGTCAGGGCGCAGGGATGGATGCATCGCCATGGAGCTCAGGATTCCTGAGAGGAAACATGGAATGGTAAAGAGTGAGTCAGGGGAGGAGGGGAGAAAAATGGGACAATGTTCAGACCCACACAGGATGCTGATGAAAGGGAAGAGAGATGAGAGCAGTATAATGGGGATGTCTGCCACAGCATGCTTGCAGACATCTCACTGGTACTACAACCAGGGTGTACGGAGACAAAGGTTTCAATGCCAGCCTGAAATCTGCTGTGGTTGCTCATAGCCTAACTTTCACGAGGCAGACATGTACAAAAAAGATCACATTGTTCTTGCTGATTTTGATTTGCCATAACTGAATTGAATTTAAGACTTTTGAAGGCTCAGTTTGTAGAGTAAATTGCAGTCTGCAGTTAAAACATTACAGACAGAAGAAAGTCTTATGGCAGGCAGCATGTTGGGACAGTGCCGCGGCTTTGAAAACTTTGTTTCCACTCCAGGATCATCAAAGCCAGACAGTTTGAAGGGGCAAGTGCTAGTGTAAAGGCGATTTCATTGGTGCACAGCCATTCAGTTAAAATTCTCTTGGCATAGAGGTACACAAAGCACCCTAGTGATGGAAATGTCTGGTATTTGCAAACCTTGTATGCTACCCTATTAGGGCAGTTCTTCCCTAAGCCAAGGGGGGGTGAGATAATGCGTAACAAATTGTACATATCCTTATAGGAAATCCGTCCGCTGCGGAAAAGAACAAGCACATAAATAAACAACCGTTCAGGACAGCTTCCAAAATAAAACAAAACAAAACAAAACAATAAACAAAAAAACAAAATCCCAATAATTATCAGAGGGCTGACTGCAAACAACAAGGTACAGGAATGAGGCCTTGTTCAGTCACCGTAGTCACAAACAGGGGAGAGAGGAGTAAGGCTAGAGAGGTTTTTCCTTCACTTTACTGTGCATTCTGTTCTCTGGGGCCAGATGAAGGCTTGAACATACCACGCAGCTGGGTCGTACTCAGCCCAAACCCGGATAAACTCATCGAGGTGATGAGGCCCCAGGATGGACGAGTCTCTGGTCAGATACTCAAAGTTATCCATTATGACTGCCACAAACAGGTTCAGCATCTAGAAGACAGACATAAGGTAGTTAGACCTGTTGTTTTGAAATATAAAAAATAACAGACATGTATTTTTATGTTTTATGATATTCTAATAAAAGCTAACACTAAATTCTAGGATTTCACAGATGAAATGTTATCTAACTAGACAAGATACTGATGTAAACATGTTGAAATAGTTCTTCACAGTATTATCGATGTTAAGCAAACAAAAACACTTAATTGTAATTGCAAACATGTGCAAACATGCCCACAGTTCCCTTTAGAATATATCTATCTACATTTAAAAACTGCTTCAAAAAAAGCTTAATACCGTTGTTTCGACTGTTTTTAATTCAATAACTTTAATGCCACCTCTATGCATTCTGTGGATTCTGATTTATTCTTGTTTCCATTTTTTAAGAACCTTTTCTTATATTTTGATTATGACTTTTCACTTTCATTGTTTTTATGCTGTCTTAATGTTTTATTACAAATGGAACAGCAGTTTATAATGAAGTTTATAATGCCAAAAACACAGAGGACATACATCTTAACCTCCTAAGACCTGAACTCTTCCACAGCATGTATTTTTAATTTCTCTTTGATATTTGGGTTGATTAGGACCCAATTAATGTAAAAACAAAGAATTACCAGATTTTTTTTTTTTTTACCAGTTTTTTTTTCTAAGAAAAATGAGAGCCACATATGAGGATATTCGTTTAAAATTTCAGTATAACAGTAGCAGTATAATGTTCTCGTAAGTAGATATCAGGCCCTTGTAGAGCAAAATTGAGTATATGTTGGTCTAAATAACCCTAAATGTGATGTCCACATATGAGGACGCCAGGTCCTAGGAGGGTCAATATTATATTTTAGCAATATAACTGTTGCTACTTTAAAAAAGATATGCTGTATTTTGTATTTTTAAGTGGCTTGAAAACACATTTTTAAGTATCATGTATTGATTACACATACTGGATCTGGCATGTATGTAAAAAATTAAACAGCTGGAATACTGGATGTGTATCTTCTCAGGGAGCAAAAATCCTGTACTAACAAAAACTCATTAACAAGTGTTGATTTATTCATTCATTAAAAATTTGAGGAAATGACCAGTAATGATCATTACTCTGTCCCAAATATATGTGTGATGACTAACTAGCACATGTGTATTTCTGACTAGGTGGCTTAAAGATGGGCAGCTGCGAGGTTTTACAGTAAGTTTTATATTTACTCTGTGTTGTGATCAGCAATTTAGACGTAAATATTATAAAAAAGCAGAAGTAAGAGTCAGTTAAACTCTTTGGCCAATAGTTAAACAATCAAATGTGTCAGCTGCAATGGCGACATTTAGGCTTCAGTACTGACCAGGAAAGAGCAGAGAAAAATGAAAGAGACAAAGTAGAAATAGGCAAAATCGCTGCCACACTCTTTTCCGTGGGTCCCTGATCGCTCATCACATGTACGGTGACTCAAGCATGATAACATGATCTCATGCCAAGCCTCTCCAGTTGCACTCCTGATCCATTATAGAGAGAGAAGAGGAAAGAGAGAAACAGAAATGGTTAGAATAAAGTCATTGACAACACTGTGCATCACCCCAATTCAGCTTCAACAAACTTAAAATTATTGTGAAGCACTTTGATGTATACTAATCTTTTACATGTGCTATTGAAAAACAAATTTTAACTTGACTTGACTTAAAATAACATGGTTGATTTTTGACTATTTTCGGTGAAGGAAGATCAGTCTGATGCTAATATGTCTTGCAGAAAAAAGAACAGTGTGTTTCTTATTAAAGCGCGATATATCGAGATATATATACATATATATATATATATACACACACACACACACACACACACACACAAACACACAGTGGCTTGCAAAAGTATTCGGCCCCCTTGAACTTTCCCACATTTTGTCACATTACAGCCACAAACATGAATCAATTTTATTGGAATTCCACGTGAAAGACCAATACAAAGTGGTGTACACGTGAGAAGTGGAACGAAAATCATACATGATTCCAAACATTTTTTACAAATAAATAACTGCAAAGTGGGGTGTGCGTAATTATTCAGCCCCCTTTGGTCTGAGTGTAGTCAGTTGCCCATAGACATTGCCTGATGAGTGCTAATGACTAAATAGAGTCTACCTATGTGTAATCTAATGTCAGTACAAATATAGCTGCTCTGTGACGGCCTCAGAAGTTGTCTAAGAGAAAATTGGGAGCAACAACACCATGAAGTCCAAAGAACACACCAGACAGGTCAGGTATAAAGTTATTGAGAAATTTAAAGCAGGCTTTGGCTACAAAATCATTTCCCAAGCCTTGAACATCTCACGGAGCACTGTTCAACCGATCATTCGGAAGCGGAAGGAGTATGGCATGGCACAACTGTAAACCTACCAAGATAAGGCCGTCCACCTAAACTCACAGGACGAGCAAGGAGAGCGCTGATCAAAAATGCAGCTAAGAGGCCCATGGTGTACGAGAGGAACTGACCTGAGAGATAGAGGTCGTGTCCAAATTCATGGGCTGCATCCTCCTGAGGACGCATTTGTAGACCGATTACGTCACAGCGACCCGACAAAGTAGGGCTGCTCAATTAATTGAATTTTAATCACGATTACGATCTGGGCTTTCAACGATCATTAAAAATGACTGAGCCGATTATTAGCCCCTCCCTCATGCTTTACTCTCGCACTGCTCCGTGTGGCAAATCCAGCGCACCTCTCTGCATTTCGAACACGCGTCACAACAATTAAGAGCAGGGGTCCCCAAACCCCGGGCCTTGGACCGGTACCGGTCCGTGAGTCGTTTGGTACTGGGCCGCGAGAGTTGAGGCTCAGGTGTGAAATGTATGGTTTTCAGGGTCAAAGGAGCTTGCAAAGAAAAGCGTCTGGACTTCTTTAAGTTGCTTGAAGACGTTTCACCTCTCATCCGAGAAGCTTCTTCAGTTCTAAGGTCAAATGGTGGAGAGTCCCAGATATAAACCTAGTGGGAGTGACCCCCCACAGAGGGACAAAAGGACCCCCTGATGATCCTCTAATCGCCTGAGCCAAGGTGTGAAATTGGGTGTGGGACCCAATCAGCCAGAGTTTCGGGTGTGTTTATAAATGCCCTGGGTGGTTTTCACACAGCTGAAAAAACATCAAACAGAAAACTGATTAAACAGAAGTGTGAGACGGTCGAGAATTTACGCCAGTGCCCTGTTATATTTTAGATAGCAAGGAGCAGACGGCCGAGTTTATTAAACTCCATCGAGACAGCATCAGAAGGCAAGACCGTCCAATTTCACAGTCGTTTACTTCCGGTCTACCCAACCTACTGAGGACCTGGCCTACGTAGACCGCAAAGGCAGGGTCCTCAGGAGGATGCAGCCCATGAATTTGGACACGACTAGAATCATGGTGAAGTTTGAAACCTGGATCCTCCGTAGCCGGTTACCAAGACTACGTGAGGTACCCTACGTGAAGTAACCTAGATCTACTAGATGTTGTGAATACAGCCTACCTCAACCTTACCTACCTCAAGTGCTTACCTACCTCAACTACCAAGGCTAACCAACTGATCTACACCACGGCAACGGTGATCAGTTAGATGCTTGGCTACAAGCTGAACAGCTACAAGAAGCAGTGCAGACCATGGAGAAGGAGACTAGAGACCAAGATCAAGATAGCATGGAGGGAGGTTAGCCAACTATCAGAGGTGCAGAAATGTGCAATGAAGGTGCCTAAGAAGTACAGCAAGCTGTCCATACCTGAGGCCTTGGAAACTGCCAAGAAACGACTCACAGCCTTGGCCAGCCGCTTGAAGATGTACACCAAATAGATTGAAGGCAGGAGAATAAACCAGCTTTTCTCCACAGAACCAGCCAGGGTGTACTCTCAGTGGCAAGGGAATAATATAAGAACAGCACCACCAAGGCTGGAAACCGAGCAATACTGGAAGGACATATGGGAGAAGGACGCCATCCATAACAGCAATACTCAGCGGATAGTGGATCAAAGAGCAGACCACAGAGACCTCCCTGAACAGGGTTCAGTAACCAGCACAGTGGCAGATATCCAAGAAAGGATCTCCAGTATGAAGAGTTGGACAGCACCAGGCCCTGGGATGGTTCATGCCTACTGGCTGAAGAAGCTGACTGCACTTCACGAGCATCTGGCAGTACAAATGAACCAGCTGCTAGTTGATGAGAGACATCCAGAATGGCTAAATGAAGGCCAGACAGTCCTGATCCCCAAGGACCCCCAGAAGGGAAAAGTCCTATAACAGTAAAGAGTCATAAAGTCTGCGGAGAGGATCATAGGAACAAAACTTCCTTCCATGGACTCTCTGTACACACAACGCTGCTGAAAAAGAGCAGAGAGAATTACCAGGGACCCACACCATCTAGTTCACCCTCTGCTCAGACACAAAAAGTGTATATACATCCTTAGACACAACAGAGCTGAGAGCATCATCACACACAGAACAAGGTTTTTCAACAGCTTTTTCCCCGCAACTGTCAGACTGATGGCAAAACACAAACACTGAATATTCAACATAACACTCAACATACAACAGTCAGACTGATGGCATAACATAAAAAAACACTGAACACTTAAAATAACACAGCACTACCTCACCTCATTTCAATATACAATGGGATAAATCACTGATTAATGTGCAATATACTCACTGAAACAGATCTGTGAAACAGATTTGTGAAAATGTGCAATATTATATGTTCAGTGCTAAGAAGTGTATTACCACCCTCTCTGTACAGTGTGTTTTGTATATAGTAAATACAATGATTGCTCCATTCTTTTCTTTATTTCTATTCTCTTTTTTAGTTGCTTTGTTTTTACTTTGTAAAGAATAATTTGACCTGGAGAGCTATGCACAAGAATTCCAATGTGTATGGACTGTTGGTCCTGTGTGCAAATGGCAAATAAAAATCTTGAATCTTGAATAACAGTACCACATGGAAGCTCCTGTCAGACATCATAGACTGCAAGACTAGACTGACCAACCTGTGCACCTGGATTGACTACAAGAAGGCCTATGATTCAATATCCCACACCTGGATCCTGGAATGCCTAGAACTGTACAAGATCAACAGGACCTGAAGAGCCTTCATCAGGGACTCATGGGGGTGTGGCAAAAAACAATAGAGGCCAACTTCAAGCTGATAGCACAAGTCGCCATCAAGTCCCGTATCTACCCCACTGCTGTTATGCATAGGCCTGAATCCCCTCAAGGAGATCATTAACGAGGCTGGCTACGAATACCGACTACGGAATGAAGCTTGATACAGAATGAAGCTTGTAGCTTAGGAGATTACTTTTATGTCCAGCAGGAAGTCACGTACGCAGAAACACACACACACAGTGCTTAAACTGTTACACTCGCACACTCACTCACGGGTACACGTAGGGCTGCCACAAACGATTATTTTGATAGTCGACTAGTCACCGATTATTTTTGCGATTAGTCGACTAATCAGATCATCATCCACTGGACATAAAACGTACAGCTTATTGCACCAGCAGCATCTGCTCTTATATAACTATCATTAGCTTACAGCTTTAAGTGTTTAAGGTATGTGCTAACTAAAAATAAAGACAAGATGATAGTTTGTTAAATTTTAATGAAGTTTGCAGATTGTTTTGGTGAAGTTTAATAAACTCCTTGCTATCTAAAATATAACAGGACACCGGAGTAAATTCTCGAGCATCTCATACTTCTGATAATCAGCTGTCTGCTTGACGTTTATTCAGCTGTGTAAAAACTTTAATCTCAGCCAAACCGATTTACTCAGGAACAAATAAAATATTGAAAAAAGCCAAACAATAACATTTTAAGTTATCTAAGTGACTCATATATCATGTTTAACCTGAGTAGCGAAAGACGGCGGTGGGTTTGAAGCCGGGAGTGCGGTGTTCTCACGGCGCTAGTGAGCCTAGCCCCCGGCTAGCTATCGAGCTAGTGGGTAACAGATGTCTCCGAAAACGTCGGAGCGCTTTTGAAAATATGTGGTGTCTTGATAAACTGAGCAGATATTTGAGGTTTACACAGCTACATTCTCGTCTGAAAATATGTTCTTCTTCGGGGTTTAACGGCAGCTGGCATCCTTGTACATGCAGTGCTGCCATCTTCTGTTTCAGTCCGTTATTACATTCTTAAATCCTGCTACTTATTCCTGCGTCTTTTGGGATCTTACAAAGCTTCAAACGACGTGTCGACTATTAAATCAGTCGTCGGCGATTTTGATAGTCGACGTAATCGTGACTAGTCGACTAATCGTGGCAGCCCTAGTACACGCACACACAGGCACTCACATGCTCGTGCATACACACAGACACAGAGTTTGCAGCACACCATGGGAGTTTTATGATGGGGTCACTTCTACAAAACTGTGTTTCACAGACAAAGCAGTGAAGATCTGCAGAGGGACACCGGCCTTGTACATCTCCCCTTCTAGAAGATGCATGCTTAAATGAAGATGAATAAAGATGAATAAGGGT